AGGCAGCAGGTCCTCACCTTGTGATTCCTCCCGTGCTTGTCCAACAGCGAGATGATGGATTTAATGTGTCCTTCCTTAATAATATTCAGCGCCTCCGGGCTTTCCACTAACACGCAGTGCAAAACCTCCAGAATACCTAAAGATGAACACAGAAAGGAGGAAACGCCATCCATCCGTCTGCAGCACCTGGGCCTCCGTGTCTGGCTGGTCCAGCACGTCACTGGTCCGTGCCCCCACGTCTGTCAGAAGCACAGTGGGAGGTGGAGGCGTGTCCACAGATGACGAGCCCCAGCCGAGTGTGGGGACGGCCAGGGCGTGGTGCGGACTGGTGTGCACTTCCAGGATGCGGGCGCTGGGGAGGCGTGCGTCAGCATCAGCACCCGGCCGGGGTCCTGGCTCCCCCCACCTACCTACCCCATGTGACTCTTAGAAGAAATCAATAAACTTTTTTTTTTTTTTTTCAAAAAATGTAGGGCTCCTGAACATGGTGACAAGGTAGGTGACGGACGGCGTAGGTGACGGACAGCCATCCCTCCCGCAGAGATGGGGCACGCAGCTCCTGCCCGGTTCATGGGCACATGGGAAGCTCCCGCTGTGTAACTACAGCACCAAGCCTAGTGCCGTGTGCACCAGATGGGGGTCCTGCAGGTCTCAGCAAGCCCTGGCTGCCTGTGCCCAGTGTTCACCTCTGTGAAATGCACGGACGAGAAGCCACAACAGCACGTAAGGCACTGGGCCAGGCTGGGCTGGAGGGGCCGCGTGGCACCGCGGTTACCTGTGGGTAACAGACTTGCACAAAAGGCAGGCGGGGTCAGAGAGAAGCCAGCCACAGCGGCCACAGCAGAGAAGGCCCAAGGGTCTGAGAGCAAGTGAGCGAAGCCAGCACAAATGATGCGAGGGCCCCCCGGCAAAGGGGAGGGCACCGGGGCCTGGGGGCGGGGGCGGGCACAGAGGACAGACAGAGCGAGGCCTCCGGACACAGGCAGAGCTTGAAGGCCTCTCCCAAGAGCCGTGAGCACCAGCTGTCCCCTTCCAGTGCAGCAGGGGCCCCGAGCCCCGTCCCGTCCCAGTCCCCTCTGCATGCACAGGTAACAGCTCAGGTGTTGAGGGAGGGCACTGCACGGGCAGCACTGCTCCACAGACTGGGCTGCAGAGCGACCAGCGTGAGAACGCTGGATTTGAAGCTCGCAGTTACCCCGGGCCAGGCCAGCCCAGCATGATGGTAGGGGCTGTGTGCAGGGAGCCAGATCCCATGAGGCGACCTAAAGCTCAAGCCCCAACCCTGGTGGCTTAAAAACACACCAGGCACAGGGCCAGCAGGCAGCGTGGTGGTTGAGGGGCTAACCCCACGTGGCTGACCACGGATCAAGTCCTGGACCCGGCCACTTGCTTGCTTTCTCACTTTCCCTCTCTCTCTTGGTCTATCTGTGCAATGTACATGTGCCCTGAAGCAAATGGAAAAATAATAATGATGATAAATAAAATTAAATAATTTTAAAAGCAAAAGCATCAGGCACACATGTGTAGGATCTTGGCAGGAGGAGGTGGAGCACGTCCCGTGGAGGGAACACACCGACTGGCTAGAGAGATAAATACCTAAGCTCGGCCAGACGCCACAGGACAGGCTGAGCCCCACGGCCTGGACTCCAGCCCCACCCACCCTGGGAGCCCGCACCTCCATGGGGCTGGGACAAGGCAGGACCCTGCTTGAAAAATAATGAGTAAAATAAGGTAAGTTTTTCGTGTGTGTGTGTGTGTGTGTGTGTGTAAGAGATTTTTGCTTTAGGGCACATCCACCTGCTGAAGAGATAGAAAGTGAGAAATCAGCTCCCCCCAGGGGGGATGGTCATGCCACAATCCCTTCTCCTCCATTCTCCTCTCAGAATTTAGGGCACACACGCACACGCGCCCGGTTTGAACTTCAAGTCTCCAGGTCCGGAACTCAAACCGCAGCTGACCATGTGGGAGGCCAGGCCCTTAACCACTATGCCACCTGCAGGCCTCCAAGTTAAGTTGTAATTCCAAGAGGAACTGCTAGACGCAGGGTCAGCCTCAGTGGGTGCTGATGGTGGTGGCGCTGTCCTGGAGGGGTTAGACCGCGGGGGCGAGGCTGGTGCGACAAGCAGTTTTCCCAAGGAGCCCTCCAGGGGGTTTTCCAGGACAAGGCTCCCTCTCGGTTCCTGTCTCTCAAGGACTCTGTGATTCCCCCCTGAGGGGCTGCACAGGGACAAGCAAACCAGCTGGAGCAAACCACAGGCATGTTGGTGTACTGAGCTCTAGCCAGCCCTCCGGGGCCTCGGGGAGCACGAATCCAGGCACTGCCCAAGAAGCCCCCAGGCAATGCTCTCCTGGACTGAAGGAGGCTGCGGCCAGGAGGCCAGGACACTGGGCAGGCAGCACTGGGCAGCCGAGCTGCCGCCAGCCCTGCCCCACACCCTCCCTCTGCCACTCACACCTGAGGCCATCAGCAGCTGCAGCAGCCCAGGCACTGAGGCCAGAGGGGAGGACATCGGGACACAGCACTCCACAGCTGATGACAGGGACAGTGGCAGCTGCCCACCTGCCCACAGTACTCACGGGCCAGCCCTCCTGTGTAAACCCATGAGGGTGGTTCAGTTAAAACCCAGCTGAGCTCCCCTCTGAGCCTCGCAGGCCCAGCCTGGCCAGCATTTCCTGCCGTCGGCGGGTCTGTAGCAGCAGCACCCTGGGTCCCGCCGTGGGCCGTCCTCACTTCTCCTAGAACCCAGGCCTCACTCAGATGGAGGCCTGGCCGTCGGCCCCTCCCCGATGCTGCCTGTCCAGAAACCTGCACTTGCCGACCGTGAGCAGACACGTGTTGTCACGGCTACGTCAGTCAGGGCACACGCCACTGAGGCCGACCGCAGGCCAGCCAGACGAGCGTGCGGCACGTGTGGTACACGGACAGAGGGAACCAGACACTCGCTGGTGGTGCGAACCCTCCCCGTGACACGCGTATCCTAGGACCGGGTCCAGCTCACTCGTGACACGACCCGCCCGAGGGCCGCCGCAGAGTTGGGGCCGTGCAGGTGGCCCTCCCTGGGAAGCCCGGAGTGTCGGCGGCTGCTGTGGCTGTGCGTTGTGGGTAGCGCTGGAAAACGGTCAGGGAGCCACTCAGCTCTGTCGCACAGCAGTGACCTTTTCTTCTCCAGCAGGAGGTAACAGCAAGCTTTTCATTTCAAGAATCATTTTCTAGAATGTAATTTGCCTTCTATCCACACATGCCTTTGAGAAGAATGTTCTGGAAAGGATGCAGATTTCAGGTGACCATTTCTCTTTTCCCCCCAAAAACAAAAGGATGCTGTGTCTTGTTTGGAATTGACTTTGTTTTGTTTTGTTTTCTTTCTTTTCTCTTTTCGCACTGCTAATAAAATGCATTGAAACACAGGAAGCCCTCCGAGTCAGAAGTTCCATTCTCTGTCTTCCTTTTTCTCCAGCTATTTCTTTAAGTTTTGCCAAAAAAGAAAGCGGGAGACAGCTATATTCTGATTTTTCTTAGCATCATTCAAAACTGAGTAATTTTTTTGTCAAGGGTCTTAGCTAACTACTAAATTAATACCATTTAGTCGCTAATGCTTTCTTTCACATATTGATGGTGCTTCTCTTTGAAAGGTGCATTCCATTTCCCTCCGCCTTCTTCCATAACCCATCAACATAGAACATGCGCTCTGGGGCCACCAGCATGTGGTGCAGGGTTAAGGCACTGGACGCCCACATGGCGGAGCACAGTTCAAGCCCTGGATTCACAGACTGAGAACTGCGCTGGGCCCGTGTGCATGTGTGCCCAGAACTCCAGCAGGAGGACGGATTGTGGAGGAGGAGAAGGGACTGTGGCATGGCCAACACCTCCCCCCGGGTGACTGGCACTTTCCCTCCCGTCTCTGTCTCACCCTAGCAAGTGCGCATGCCCTATGGCAGATACGCACACCCACTGTGTCTAGGCATGTGGCACCCAGCACCCGGATGCAGGAACAAGACCTTGGCGATGAGGCTCCTCAGGGAGGGACTTGTGCCCAGGCAGGCACTGAGGAGCACCCGGTCCAGGGTTCTCCTCAGAAGTTCCCAGGACCCACGCTCACGGTGTCAGGAAAAGCCTGCACTGGCGTCTGCAAGGCGCTGTCCTGCACGTCTGCTGTCACAGAGCTGCCGAGCCACTGGAACCACTCAGTCTGCTCCCTACGACCGCAGCGTCATTCGTGGTGGGCTCGCACAGTACCCAAGAGCCAACTCTTCCTCACCAGCTGCTCAAACCAAAGCGAGAGTCAAAGGCCCTGGCACAGGAGCCGCGGGTAGACTAAGCCATGGCTCGCAGGCTTCCGCTGGACAGACGAGGAGCTGATATTCCGCAGACAGCTGCCACGACTCGGCCCTTTCCGCCGCGTGTCCGGGGCCGCAGAAGCTGCGCTGCCCCTGAGCACAGAGCTCTGGCCTTCACGGGGCAATCAGCGGCCTCTGACCCTGCTCACACTCAGGGGGACCACACACCAGCACCTACTACAGAGTGGGCAAGAGCCAGCAGGACCCCAGAGAGCGAGCGCCGCAGTCATGGCCACAGAGGGGCCGGGACTTCTCGGAACGCCCCCAGCAGCTGCTGGCTGGCTGGCCAGGCCCTGCGTGCTGCTCGGGGGCCCCAGCCTTTCAAGTGTGGAGAGCGCTCCGGGGAAAACCAGCCTCGGGAATGCATCAGCACATCGCCGACTCCCGCCTGCGCCAGCCGCTGTGTTTTCGAAGACTCCAGCCCAGAGGCAGGCACAGCCTGCGTGCACTGGGAACACTCACCCACCTGTCCTTCCTCCCCGAGGAGTCCAGGGCAGTTGTTCTTTTTTTTGAGAGGTTTTTGCTATAGGGCGCGTGCGCTCGCCAGACAGAAAGAGACAGAGAGACAGAAAGCGAGAAATCCCCCCCCAGGGGGGATAGCCACACTGCAATCCCTTCTCCTCTGTTCTCCTCTCGGGATCTTGGGCATGCATGCACATGCACCCGGCCTAAGTTTTAAGCCACCGGGTCCGGGACTCAAACAGCGGCTGGCTACGGGGGAGTCCAGCGACATAGCCATTACTCCAACTGTTGTTCCCCAGGGCAGTTGTTCTTAGGAGCAGATCAGACTGTAACGTGGCTTTGTGTCCTGGTGAGGCCGACAACTTCAGTTCATGTAGAACACACGCACACACACACGCATGCACGCACACATGCTCACATGCTGTCTGACTGAGCCCTACCCTCACACCCTGATGCAAACAGCAGCTGGCAGCAGCCCAGACCCAGCCAGTCGGCCCAGCCCTTGGCCCACCCACCGGCACACAGCCGGGCCGCCAACCACAGCTCCTTTGTTTCTGTCCAACGTGGCTGGCTCTGAGCACAGGGCACGAGGAGGGACCACGGGACGATGCTCTAGAGTAAATGCCACGGCTGGCAGAGGCCCTCAAACTCAACACAGGCCCTGGGGGGAGGAGGGGGCACCTAGACACATGTGCATACGACCCCCAGTGACAATTGTTCTGGTCCCACGGGGGCAGCCTGATGTGAACACAGCTCCCGGCCCTTGCCTCCTGTTCACTTGTGTCCAGACAGGCATGCCCTGAGCCCTTGTCCCCAGCTCTGATTCTGGGGGGTCCCACACTCGGGCCGGCATCTCGGTGGACTCTCCGGGCACCAAAGCTCACCCTACCCGAGGTGGTCTCTCCCCGTTGCCCTTTCTGGAGGAAGGCAGGGCTCTCAGAACCCGGCTCTGTTCATGCCTCATACACAGACCCCTTCGGGCTGGCAGCAGGTGGCTCGTCCCACCAGGGCCTTAGAATCCTCGGGAGAGCCCCAGAGCTGAGCCTGCACCCCACGGAGCATGCCAGACTTCCTGGTTTGTGACGGGTGTGGGCAGGGCACCTGCCGAAGCGCACTGGGATCCCACTCCTCCGGTCACTTGTGGCCACGACCCCATGGACAGCCACGCGGCCATTTCTCCTACTCCCTGCTGTGGGCTGCTGGCCACTTCTTGTCTGCGGTGGTCAGAAAGGTCAGTGTAATTGAGGCATCTGGGAGCAAAGGGGCCACGGGGCACGAGGCCCACAGAAAGTTCCACAGTGCAGGTCCCAGGCGGGTCTTCAGCCAAAGCCACGGAGCTCTTTTGTGTGGGCAGTGGGATTTTTAAAGTGACTCGAAGCCCCCATCCATTCACTCAGCAGGTACTCTTAGGCACCCACCAGGTGCCGGGCACTACGGTGGCTCCAGAGAAGGCAGCTGAGTGACGTCAAGTCCTGCCTTCCAGAGGTCTGTCACCAGCCCAGGGCACTGGGGGGAGGATGAAGAACCTCAGGGCGTAGTGCCCTGGAAGGCGACTACTGAAGTGCCCAAGACAGCGGGAGACGCGGGCAGCCAGCTGTCCCGAGGCGGTGTGCCGGCCAGGCCAGCACGTGCTCACGGCCGTGTAGCCCGAACGCATGGCAGCCTTCAGGCCGGCTTCGCAGCCAATCAACCGACTGCAGGTGGAAATATTTCAAAAGCAGTAAAAATAACAACACAACAATTAAAATAACACAAATAAAAAACGTAAGACATTAAGAATGTCTTGTTAAGAATCCTACGTAATCTAGAGGCGGTCTGCAGTTCCGGGGCGTGCGTGTGCTGTGGGCAAGCACAGCGCTGTCAGGACTGCAGCTTCCATGGGCGACACCCACACAGAGCCCTGGCGAGCACCCCGGGGACCAGGACGGCCGCACGTGTTAGCGATACTTGTGTCAGGCTGGTTGTCTGTGACTATTCCCTTGCTACACAGGCTGTTTACGAGTATCTACTAAAGCCCATTTTTATTTATTGATATATGTATTTATTTATTTTTACTGATTGATTTATAAAGTGTCTTTCTTACACGTGAGAGACAGAGACCACTGACAGGGACCCAGCACATGGCAACCACCCTCGCCTTCCTGCCACCAGGATCTGGGCGCACGCAGGGATGCCCCCCGTGTAGGTAAATAAGACCACACACGGGCCTTCCTGCGTGGCCCCAGTCCCGCGCCTTCCTGCGTGGCCCCAGTCCCGCGCCTTCCTGCGTGGCCCCAGTCCCGCGCCAGGCGTCTCTCCACCAGCTCTTTTAAATAGAGCACTGCACATCTGGGAGGCTGCTTCTCCAACCCAGCCAAATACTATCTTGAGCACAAGGGGGAAGAATGAGAATCCCAAACTGGCCCTTGGGCTGCAGGTACTTTGGAAGCATTCGATTAGGAAGAAAGGGTGCGGGCTCCGCAGGGTCTGGGCTTGGCGACTGGACTGCCTGCTCCATGAAATGGGCAGGAGCTGGAGTCGCAGCTCAGGAAGAGAGCGCAAAAGCTATTGACGAGCTTAAGAGGAGGGCCCTTTTCATTTTTTGAGAAAGTTTTGCTATAGGGCGCATACGCTCTCCAGAGAGACAGAAAGCAAGAAATCGCCCCCTGGGGGGATGGCCACGCCGCAATCCCTTCTCCTCCATTCTCCTCTCGGAATCTTGGGCAAGCACGCTCATGCACCGAACATGAGTTTTAAGCCGCCAGGTCCGGGACTTGAACCACAGTCGACTACGTGAGAGTCCAGCGACATACCATTATGCCATCGCCGGTCTCGAAAAGCCCTTTATGGCACTGAGCATGTTTTGTCTTGCGTCCTGGAGGACGTGGGGCAGAGTGGACAGGAACAGCGCATCACACCGAGTAGAGAGGCAAGCACATACCTGAGGATGCCTCCAGCCGCTCCAGCCTGCTGATGAGCCAGTCGAGGGAACCGGAGAACTGAGCACAGTTTTTACGATTTCCTCTGATGAGAGCCGCTGCCAAAGAAGAAAAGTGCACACTTCTGTGATTTCCAGCTGAAAACGCAAGGTACATTAATGGAGGCTTGAGAACGCGGCACCCAGACAGAGCATCTTCACGCAACGCCTCGGACACGCGAATTCACGCACACACGGGACCAGGCGGCAAAGAGGAACGTGTGTTTGTTCACTTCTTTTCAGGACTGGAAAGAGCACTGCTCATTAGAAAGAAAAGGACTTCAGGAGGCAACAGAACCCCCGTGTCCTGGGAGCCCTGCCGGCTCCAACGCCCACCGGGACTCACAGCCACGGCTCTAGGACCACGGGACTCACGACCTCCTCTCTCTCGAGGGCACTGCACACCCTGACCAAGGGACAAGCGCAGAGAACAAGGAGATGCAACTCGCGACCAGAACTAGCGGGGACACGGGCAGCCGAACGTCACACGGCAGCCACCCTGCAGCTCAGGGGCTAAGGGACCCAGACCCTGCAGGGCCAATCACGGTTCTAGTCCCGGCTCTGGCAGCTTGACAGCACCATGCAGGCGTGCACGCCCCGAACCTGACAGGAGGAGAGATGAGGGGCTGCAGCGTGGCCAGGCCCGCCAAGGGCGGTCTCTCCCTTCTCCTGCCCTCGGGAAAACACGAAAAGGACAATAATAAGCATCACATGGAAGAAAAGACGGGAGGGCCGTGGCTAGTGCATTTGAACCTAACAGCTCTCCTTGCCACGTGGACATCCCCAGTGCAATCAAAGGCCCGAGACGGGCCACGGCAAGGAGCCTAATGCCGCCTCACCCGGGCTTCCTGCGCTTCTAAATGAAGAACCCGTCTGACATCAAAGTCTCAACCTAAGTTATACACTCAATTTTAAACTCTTTAAGTTTTCTAAATCCTTCAACTCTTCCGAAGCATGTCTGATCGATATTTTACGTAAATTCTTACGCCCTGTTCAGATGAGAACATGGAGCCCAAAGGTAGTGCCCTCACACGGCCACTCAGGAGCAGGCTGCAGGGAGGAGGGTGATCTCAGAGGCTGCCAACCCCGCCAAAGTGCACGGCCCCTGCCCTGGTTTGCCAAGGGCCCAGGGAGAGAGCACCGCCTGGGGCCCCCGAGCCCACTCAGGAGGACCATCAAGAGCAGCAGGGAGACTTGGGGAGGGGCTGGGCTGTCCACCAGCTGCACCGGCCAAGGAGAGAGCCACGAAGAGCCACTCGGGACGGAGATGCCATCGCAGGAGCCGCAGGAAAGAGCGACGCGGCTGGGACCTCCAGGTGCCTGCAGTCTGCCCGGGACATTAGCCGTCCTCCTGCAGAGAGGACTGGGGCCACACGGGCGAGGAGAGCTGGCATGGCCCCTCTACTTCCCGCAGGGTGCAGAGAGCAGCCGTCCCGGGGAGGGGCTGGGACAGCACAGTGCTAGGACAGACTGGCCTCGGCGTCCCCGACGGGCTGAGCTGTGCTGGCCCTGTCCCCGGCATCGTCCTCCTGAGTCCCCACCTGGTTGTGACAAGAGGGTGCGAATAAGCAGACTAATAGCAGAGGTCATGCCAGCTCAGCTACAAAATAATCCCGCTGGAATCCTGCTCATGCCCGTCCCTGCCCCCCACACAGACAAGGCAGTCTCCACACTGGAGAAACGGTGTGTCCCATTATGAAATGCCTTTCCAGGACGTCCTAGAGAGGGCTGCTTCAGCTCCCGCAGGGCCACCCTGCCCTGCCTTCAGATGCCGTGCTGACCCCCCTCACATACTGCGCCCACGGCAGGCTCACACGGAATCCCGGCGCGTGGAGGCGTATGTCACGAGCTAGCGGCCGCGCCCCCCACCCCGCCGCTCTGAGATGGCCATGCTCCACGTTGGCCCAGAGACACAGTGCTGGCGATTTTGCCACCTTGGAACCTTTCTCCTGGTCACTGCTGTGGGCGAGATAAAGAATCTGGTTCCTAGAAAGCCTCGGTGTCCCCGATCCCGCCCACAGAAATGCTGGCCACCCCTCGGTCTGGAAGTACCGAATGCACGTGTTCAATGTTAATGACACGCCCCACAGCCCAGCTGACAGAAAGCGAAAACTTCTGATGGGTACGAGAGTCTCCTTTGCTAAACTGTACATTTTAATTAGTACAATTTAGCTATACATTTTAATTAGTGCAATTTAATTAGATTATACAGAATCTGCAAGGGTTTTGACAACCTGCCGCTCACATGGACGCGTACTATCGCTCTCCCACACCTGTCCCAGCCACGGGCCCAGGACAGCGGCCTGGTCGGCGGCAGGCCACATGCAGGATGGCAGTCCGCAGGGCACGTCCGGGCCACACGGTGCACGTGGCAGCGTGGCCTGTGCCATCGGGTCTGGGTCAGTGCACTGTGAGGTCACCCACACGAAGCCGTCTAACACCTCATTTCTCAGAGCGCCTCCTGCCGTCCAGCCACACACGACCGGCCAGCGGAACTCGGCGCTCGGCACAGCTCGGCACAGTTGCTGCAGGTCTGCGGTGTGCCGGGCTCCACGGAATGCTGGGGACACGGGCGCCTGAGGGGTTGGCCCCACTCGTAACCACGTCAGGAAACGGCAGTGCTCGTACACAGGCAGGTACGAAGCACCAGGAACGCGAGAGCGAAGGTCTAGTTGTGCCTACGTGTGGGAGAAACGCCAAGGGTGGCTCTGAAAGACCACGCCAGGTCTGCCGGGTCCGGGAGGGTAAGCGGGGACTTCAGGAAGTCCATGGAAAAGTAAAAGTAAAGCATGAGTTTGTTTTGTGCAACGAATTTTGCAGTCTATGCATAGTTTTTCCACAATACTTGTTTTCCTTAAAGTTTCTGAAGACCCTTCATACAGGAATTTCAGAAAAAGAGAGTAAGGAGATGTCACAGACGTATGTGTGCATGGCATGTTCAGAAACCCGTTCAGACACAGCTCAGGGAAGGGGACAGGGTGCGGGACAGGGTGCAGGACCTCGTGTTCCTGGTGAAGCTGGCCTGACCTTGTCATGGGAGCAGGGACCTTTCTAACCAGGGAGGTGACGCATCACTGTGGAAGGCTGGTCTCACCTGAGGTGGGAGGCGAGGACTAGGGGAGAGCAAGAGACCTCACCCCATGACCTCTAGCCTCCACAGGCCTTCCCCGGGAGCCACCGAGAGCCTCTGCTTGATCATTTTTAACGACATCTGCAGCAAGCAGCCCCAGGAGGGGGCCTGTGCGCCCCTCCGGAGCAAAGAACAGGCATCAGGCTCACCACCCAGTAAGCCTGGCAGGCCTGGCCGAGCAGAGGGTTCCTCCTCTGTGACAGGGCTCTGGACACCAGCACTGAAACACACGCACCCTGGGTGCAGCCAGGACTCTGACCAATCACCCACCCTTCTCCCTGACTGCAAGCAAAGCAGCAGCCTCAGCTGTGGGCAGTGTAAAACCTCAGCCCCTTCAGTTTCCAGCAAGACACCAGTAGAAGCCATTGCAATAATTCAGGTCAGAAACAGCAAGGCCTGGGACCAGCAGTTAGCGTAATGGCTGTGTCGCTGGACTCCCATGTAGTCGACCAGGGTTCAAGTCCCGGACCCAGTGACTTAAACTCACGCTGGGCGCGTGTGCGTGCGTGCCCAAGATCCCAAGAGGAGAATGGAGGAGAAGGGATTGCAGTGTGGCCATCCCCCCTGGGGGGTGATTTCTTGCTTTCTGTCTCTCTGTCTCTCTCTTGTCTTTCTGGCGAGTGCACACGCCCTATAGCAAAAATCTCTCCAAAAACAAAACAAACAAAAAACACAAAACCTCCAGCAAACGAAAACGATGGCTAAAGAAGGACTGCACTGTATCTCTGATCTCAGCAAACCCACCATGTCTGTCACATGCTGGCGGCTGGCGTGTAGAAGCATTACGTCCCAGGATCAGCGTAAGACTAACGATGGTTCAGGTCTGTGAGGGCCAAGAAAAAAAAAAAAAAAAAAAAAACCACCAGGGCCCTGGTCTACACGGAGCTGACAGGGTGCAGAACAGCCGCTGCAGGAGTCACAGCCCTGACAGGTTACACACAGCTCTCGTGAGAACAGAGAAGGGACAGGATCTCTGAGCCCCGGAGGAGACAACAGGGAGTGAGAGGGACTCTGGTGAACACCTGTTCACGGAGCCCCAAAGGAAATGCTTTGCCCACATCCACAGAGGCCCCTCTGCAAAAGCTGCTCTCGCCATGACCCTCCTCCTTCAACCAAAGGCAAACCTCCCGTCCTGGCTCCTCCCGCCCAGACAGGGAGCCGAGTGCAGGACTGTGCTAGGCCAGACACGGCACAGCATGCCTCTGCCCGCCGGCAAGCACGGGGTCCTCGCAGACGCAGAACTTACCCAGCAGCTCGTACAGGGAGTTGAGGATGGACTTCCACGACTCCCCGGCCTCCCGCCCGGCCACATCCGAGAAGTGGGCAGCGCTGCTATACACGTGCAGCCGGTCCACACACTCCAGCACCAGGTTGATCATGCCCTGGGGGAAGAGTCAGATGCTGCGATTCTGTGCCCAGGCCGGATCTGAGCAGGTTCACAGAAAAAAGGTCTGCTCAAAGTACTTTGGCCAATCATAAAGAAAATCGCCATCATTTGTTCAAAGAACAGGAAGAAGCACATTTGCATGTGAAATGAAATGCTGTTCAAATGGCTCATTTCGAATCCTGAGTCCCCATCTCCGACAGGAGCAGAAACGCGTGAATTGGCACTCCCTGCACCGGCACGCTCTGACACAGATGAAATGACTCAGCATAACGGAGCCTGTCGTCAGAAGCACAGCGCGAGAGGTCCTCAGCCTCGGCCTCGGAGGAGTGCCGCTGCTGCCCCAACACCGCGAGCTACGGAAAGAGAAGCTCACAGAGAGAGACATCCCCCATGCCGGGCGCATGTGCGTGCGTGCCCTAGATCCCAGAGGAGAGTGGAGAAGGGCCTGTGCCATGGCCAGCTCCCTGGGGATGATTGCTCACTTTCTCTCTCCATCTCTCTCTGTCTCTCTGGCAACCACATGCACCATAAAGCAAAAATCTCTCTCTAAAAAAAAAAAAAAAAAGGCAATCAAAACGTCATTCCAGAACTTTGTAAAATGCAGCCTTAATTTGAAATCATTCCTTTGTTACCATTGTTAAATCGGTCTTACATGAGGCAGAGCAGGGGCCATCAGGTGGGGTAGCAGGTAAAGCACTAGACTCCTACGTGGCCGGCTGTGGTTCGAGCTCCAGACCTGACAGCTCGAGAAGCACACCAAGTGCATGTGCGTGCGCCCCAAGTCCGAGAAGAGACTAGAGAGGGGATCGTGGTGTGGCCATCTCCCCAGGGGGCGATTTCTCACTTGCATGGCTATGTTGCTGGACTCTCATGTAGCCAACTGTGGTTTGAGTCCCAGACCCGGTGGCTTAAACTCATGCCAGGTGCATGTGTGTGCCTGCCCAAGATCCCAAGAGGAGAATGGAGAAGGGATTGCAGCGTGACCATCCCCCTCAGGGGGTGATTTCTTGCTGTCTATCTCGCTGTCTCTCTCTGTCTTTATGGCAAGTGTGTGTGCCCTATAGCAGAAATCTCTCAAAAAAAAAAAAAAAAAGGCAATCAAAACGTCATTCCAGAACTTTGTAAAATGCAGCCTTAATTTGAAATCATTCCTTTGTTACCATTGTTAAATCGGTCTTACATGAGGCAGAGCAGGGGCCATCAGGTGGGGTAGCAGGTAAAGCACTAGACTCCTACGTGGCCGGCTGTGGTTCGAGCTCCAGACCTGACAGCTCGAGAAGCACACCAAGTGCATGTGCGTGCGCCCCAAGTCCGAGAAGAGACTAGAGAGGGGATCGTGGTGTGGCCATCTCCCCAGGGGGCGATTTCTCACTTGCCCTCTCTCTCTCCTGCAAGCACATGCACCCTGTGGCAAAAAACCTGGGGGGCGGGGACAGTTAGGCAAAGCACAGGGAAGAGTGTGAGCAGGGAGCTGGCTGACCGCACAGAGTTCAAGAGGCAGCCTAGAGCTCGGAACACCACCGGGGTCCATCCAGCTGGTCTTAGGTGAAAATTTTGAAGAAAAAAACCTACTCTAAGCCAGTACTTAACATCTTAATAGCTCATGTTCAGACTGACTTCTGACTTCTGCTGTGCAGCAGACGGGACGGCTCAGCATGGGCGCGGAGCAGCCCCAGCGAGCTCTGTCCACGCTGCCTGCTCTCACGGTCTCTGCACAGGCCCTTCCTGCACTCAGTGAAATCGTCCCCAAGGACCAGGGTCAGTCCCACAGGCTCCGGGGGAGCTAGAAACCAGTTGTAAACCCAGAAGGCGGATTCGGGGACCAAGGAGCTCACCAGTGCCCCCCACCTTCTTCTCGGGTTCCCAGGTCAGGGGCGCAGGGAAGGACGGGACCCTGCAGAGCCTCCCATGTACAGGGATGGCAGGAGAGTGCTCTTTGACCCCAGGCTGATTTCCACTCCTGGCCTGACCTAGTGCCCTCAGGAGCAGTCCAAGTGGAAACTGCTGGGACCGGCAGGGGGCGCATGGCCACGTCACTGGACTCCCACATGGCCGACTGCAGTGGGCAGGGTGTGTCCTAGACCCAGTGGCCTAAACTCACACTGGGCATGTGTGCACGTGTGCCCAAACTCCTGAGAGGAGAATGGAGGAGAAGGGACTGCGGCAAGGGTAGTCCCTTGTTGCTTTCTGTTACTCTGTTACTCTTTCTGTTACTCTGTTACTCTCTCTCCAGAGAGCACACACACCCTGTAACAAAAACGTCTCTCTAAACAAAACAAAAACGAGAACAGTGGGTACTGCCCCTTCTCGGCCGAGAACTACTGAGCTATTTCCACAAGTCCGGAGGCTAGCTGACGGACGAGATGAGCAGGCCACAAAGGTGGAGGAGGACCCCCGGCATCCGGACGCCGTGACTGAAGGTGGACCCCCACCCGTTACAGGCCGCCTCCCAGCTGCATCCAGCCTGCCCTTCCAGCCCTGCCCCGTGCTCCAGCGCGCCCTCCATCTGCGACCCCCGCCCGCCGGCAAGCACGTCCCCATTCTGAACTCAAGGCCCTTTGGGCAGTGGCTCCGGCGACGCGGGTCACACCAGCAAGTGCAAGGATGTGGCTCTCCGGGGTGGGGGCTCCTCGACAGGAGGCCCCGGGCATCCAGAGGCATTTCCCAGGAACCCCCGCCTGCAGCGAAACGTGAAACCCTGGCGTTTTCCAGAGCGGGCGTGCCCCACGGTGGATGCTGGATGCGTGGAGCAGCAGGAAGTGTACGGCAGCGCTGCGGCACGGCCAGGAGGGCCGAGAGGACAGCAGGTGTCCCTCATGGGGGAGGAAGTCGCACCTGCACAGTGGGCAGACTCACAGAGAAGCCTGCCGGGCCCCCCAGGCCTGCCTTCCCTGGGGCTCCCTTTCCTCTCGGTCCTCCCCAGACCGAGCCCCTCCACTCCAAACCAAAATGCAAGGATGCCCAATCCAGGGAGAGCTTCCCCTAAAAATCTGTCTGTGACAGCAAAGCTCACCTCCTCCTGGAAGAGGTTCTGCCGGTTCTTCAGGGCCCGGAGCCGGTTCTGCTTGTCCTCGTGTTCCAGGTGCTCGTCGGGGGGGTGGAAGTAGCCGATCAGATCCTGCAGGCTCAGGCTCATGGACTCAATGGGCAGGTCCACGGGGGCCTTGGCCTTCCTGCTGCGCCTATCGAGG